CAGACCGGAAACCTTCAGAAACCCTTAAGAAGGAACAGACTCACTTTTGAGGAGCATATCTATCTAGAATTCATGGGAAACCATAGCAGGCCATAACAAACATATGGAAAACGCAGGGAAATCACAGGAAACCGCAGGAAACGTGTGGGAAACCCACAGGAAACCACAGGAAACCAGACCGGAAACCATCAGAAACCCCGTACGAGGAAGAGACTCACTTTTGAGGAGCATATCTATCTAGAAATCATGGGAAACCAAAGCAGACCACAGCAAAGGTGTGGAAAACGCTCGGAAACCTGGAGGAAACCGCAGGAAACCCATGGGAAACCCATAGGAAACCAAAGGAAACCATCGGAAACCAGACCGGAAACCATCGGAAACCCCTATGAGGGGACAGATTCACCCTTTGAGCATTTACAAAAGGTTAATGCAAAGGGAAGGGGGTGAACTGCACCGTCGACAGCACTCCACACTTCATCATCCCAGCCAATCGCAGTATTATACTTCCACTCGCACCCAAAGGGTGAACAAGTTCTTCCGGATCTGTGTTCTGGAGAGCACGCACGGCAAGACAAGAATGCTTTCACATTGCTGATGAACCTAATTGAAGTCCTTATGTAACTGAGGTCTCACGTGCAAACTTCTGTCAGCTTCGCTGTACATATATTAGTTTATACTAATATGGCTAATACACTACGATGTACAGTCATGTACAGCATTGACAGCAATGTATGTGAGTCTCCACGACAAAGGGCCAAGAAACGCTTTTCAAGTGCAAGTGTCGCGAACATCTGCTGGGGCTTGAACCAACGCGCAGGCCCCGAAGTCATCATCACATGTGAGCAACGGCCTCCCGACAACCCTTGCACGACTCGCCGGCCCACCACAGCCCTTGAGCCTCTCAACAACAGCCGGGCCGGCTCACTCGGCCTTACCATTCGGGCGGGACACCTGCGTGTTGCGCAGCATGTCGCCGACGACAACAAGGTCGCCAGACCTCAATGTAATGAATGTAATGAGAAAACCTTGTGAAAGCTCCAAACATTGTGGGCCCACACCTCGTTTTCCAGTTCTTCTCGATTGCCTTGGAAATCCTCCACAGTATTGGTGATCAGAGTTCGTCTTGGTTTTTGAAGTTTGCTTAATTGCTCGCCGCATCTGGCCAAAGGCAAAAGCCTGCAGGTGTCAGAACAGCGAGCGTTGTGCGTGCTGTAGAGCCTCTCTCTCTTCCTGGCCCGAACAGGAGTGTCGGTGAGCCTCTAAACCCCTGATCCCGCTTGGAAGCGTGTAGAAGCTTTTTCTGCCCCGAAAAGCCCTAAGAACGCCAGGTTGCATTGCGACAGGGCGTAAGACCCACCTTCCTGCCTGTTCGGTTCGTCCGGCAAGGTGCGGGGGGCCTACCTTTTGCGTGGGTGCCTTCGGCGCCCTCTCCACACAATGTGCGGCGCCTCCAGAGCGTTTAAGGCTGAGGAAACAGATTCTTTCTCGGTTAGCTCACTTGTCCTGCGTGGGTCGGCTTGGGGTGTAGGTAGGCCTCCAGCGTACCGTAGCACCCATGCAATCTCGAGGCAGGGCTGTGCTCTCAGTGCAATTGCAGCATGTGGTCTTTGTTGAGCGAAGCCGGCCTGTCTCAGGCCCCCCTCAAGTGGTCCCCAGTCCTGTGGTGGAGGGTTGGCTGGAGCCGGAGCCGGAGCAGCTGGAGCTGGAGCTGGAGCGGCGCCCTCGTGCATGGCTCGCCATGGTCTCAGGTCGGTCTCGCCCTCCTCACTCGTTCACAGTGCACCAAAACGGCTGTGGGTACAAACATTCGTGCTACAGGCGTATGACCCCCCGGAGTAGAAAGCGCTGAACGGCCAACACAGGTTAAACCCGTGCGCCGCAGCCCGTTCGTAGAGCTTCTTCTGTTTCACCGCTTTTTTGTAGTTTGTTTGGTTTTTTTGTCTGTTTGTAAGGCCGAGTGCTACAGCCGTATGGAGCGAGAACAAAGTTGCTGCAGATTGATGGAGCTGACATAAGAGCAAAAAAATCCAAGAAGACGAAGATGCAATCCGTTTTGCAACAGGGGGAAGTCTTGGCATTTTAAGTGCTTGCTCAAAAGCCGTGCATCAGCAACTCGTCTGTGGTAACGAGACCGAATGAGATCGGAGAAGCGGAACAGCTCCAAGCTTCATGCTTTGTGCAACAGTGCTTCAAGGGGCTTCCACAGCTCTTGTTGCTCGCAGCAAAGTCTTCCGCATCCTCCGGCAGAACACAGCCCCTGGCGGTTTCTAAGTTTCTGGAAACATGCGGACAAGTGGATCCACGACAGACGCTGCAAAATCCTGTTGGATGTTCTGCTGCGAGAGGCTGTTGAGTTGGGTCAGTCAGTGACTGCACTCGTTTCGTTTCGTTTTAGCTGGAGACAAACAGCTGAATGCCAGTTGCAGTCCAGGACGCTGAGTTGCGACTCTGCTGAAGAAAATAGGAAATGAAGCTAAATGATTCCACGAACGAACTCCCAGCATTGAGCCGCAGAAGGCTTTGACGCTCGAGACAAAAGCTCAAAGGAGCCGTCCACACGACCCGTCAAAATTCATTTAGCTCAAGAAGAACCTTTCAATAAGAGTCTCCAAACTGGAAGTGTTCTTGTTTGCACTTGCGGACCAAAGTGTGAAATCAAAGAATATCACTTGCCATGTTGCTTCGGTCAGTACGTTGCCGTGTTGTTGGAACGACTGATACAGTTCATGAAAGACTGCATTGTTGTTCCTTGCATGGACCATGATTTCAATGTTTGCACTGAGGTCCCCAAAATGCTCTCAGTCGGACATTGCTGGAGCTGTTGGCGTCAGATAGGTCAAAAGATGGAAAACCGACACTGAGTTGAAAATGAGATTGGTCAGTTCAGGGATGCTTTCAGGATTTTTCGAGGATTGTTGTTGATTCCATCTATGCGAGCACCCCGTCACTTGTGACGTTGAGATTAATTGCTCTTGATGGCATTGGCTAGATCATATTGAGGAACCTGTCTACATTTGGCCCCCTTCGGAATACTATCCGAACTTTAATTGCTTGTGGTAGCTCAATCGAGCAATGCACGGATTGCGACAGTCACCCAAATCATGGCAAGACCATTTTCGCTTCAGTTATAGTTAAATTGGGTTTCCGTCGTTGCAAATCCGATAACAACTTGTATTGCCACAAGTCTCGATCATTGTACGGATTGGCGTCCGTAGACGATCTTCTCATTGTTGGAGATTCGAAGTTGAAGAAGGATTTCATTGATGCATTGAGCAAAGAACTGCTTATGAAGATCACCGGAGAATTGAAACCGAAAACTGAACACAATTTTCTCGGTAGGAAACTGAGGCATAACGGCGATTCCATTGATGTCCTGATCGTCCGCCAATCAAGCGGCGAAGACACGGAGCTATCTGTAGTACATGTCTCCTGGCCCGCTTCAGCAACTGTAAATACCGGGGGAAACAGGTGCCTGTAGCAACAACATTTTCTATTCTACTGTTTTTGGAAAATTTAATGTTGTTTGGATATCTTGAGCATGCTTGCGGAGCACCCTTTCCCACAACCGTGCTTAGTGACTTCATGCTGCAAGTGCAAGTCCCTCTTCTATAAGCTTTTGTTGATCGTTGTCTCAACTATGAAAGCTACTGTCTGACTTGCTAGAGTGGGGAAATCTTGGGATTCTATATGCCAAGTCGATTGTTGTTTTATTTGTTGCTACGCACCCTACTCATGAATTCGTTTGTAAGAAAACCTTGTGCCGCCCTTGATATAGAGGGGAACTGCCATATTGCGGGGAATCGGGGAAAGATTGAATTGCTTTTGCTTGTAATTGTTTACGGGAGACATGAAAAAAATGTAATTGAGCCTCTTTTGGCAAAGTCAAAAGGGGAAGAACCCAAATCCTGCGGACTGCAGGTGCGTTTACGTACGGGGAGGGTAGCGATCGCTGCCGTCGCTATATTTGGCAGAGAGAGAAATAGAGAAGAGATCTAGAGAGAGATAAAGAAAGATATAGAAATAGAGAAATAACGAGACGCTACGTTATTGATTTTCCCATTAATTGGAAAGCAGGGATCATTTTTCTATTCATTTCCCTATGAATTGAGTAGTCGGCATAGTTATCATAAAAAAAAATCCGAGATATTTCATAAATGTTTATTATTTTGCCTCCTAGGAAACCCCATGCATTTTATCTTGATTTACTTTATCGTATTTCATGCACTCATGAGTTTCACATGGTGATTGCGCTATACTCCGCAGGCGTCTTTGAGGATTCAAAACATTTTCATGGTAGCGGAGCTTGGGAAAGCCCAAGCTTCGAGACACGTCTCGGGGCTCTCTTGCACATTGCGTTGCGAAGTGCGTTCGGGGAGCTCAGGCTTCGGAAAGTTTGTCCTGGACCTTTGGGGATTTCTGTTTCCGTTAGGATCTAGGTAGGATCGCAATCCCGGCGCAGACCGGACGAGCCATAGCGTGCTCAGACAGAGCAAGGCCACGGCGTCTCTTGCTGCAGTGGAGGAAGTGAAAGAGAGGTTGCACAGCCTTTACGTTGAGCAGCTTTGTGAAAGGCCCCGTCCCGAGGGCAGATCCGGTTCTTCTTGGGATAAGATCTTATCGACTTATAGAGTTGCTTTTGAGCGGAGACTTGAAGAGCTGCATACAGTTGAGTGCGTTTGGAAGTTTGCGACCAAGTGTTTGAAGAAACAACATTTGAGAGAAGTTTTTGAGGCATTCGCACCTGAAGACGTTGCTGAGAATTGCATTTCGGAGGAGTTGCAACAAGCTTCGTTACATCCTGTGGAGGAAGGCCCTAACTTCGAGCGTGATCTTCTTGCGAGCAGTGCTGATTTGCAGGAGCTTTTGAGAGCTAGTGCTGATTGTGAGCTGCCAAGTTCTTCAGCTGAGCCGAAGCGTGCATTCAAGCGCCGATTGCAGCAGCAGAGTTCTGTGATTGATTTGGATTAATTTCCTTGATTTCTTGATCAGACAGAGAAGAGATGGACCATCAAGGGCAGAATGTTCAGCAGGGGCCGCAGTTGCCCCAGCAGCCCCTAGGGAGTGCAGGAGTTGAGCCGCCAGTGGCCCAGAACCCGTTCTCTCCAGGTGGGCAAGCACAGCAGCCAGCGCCACAGCTGGTGCAGATTGACATGACACAGATGCAATTGCTTATGGCACAGATGGTTGAGACGGCGCAAGCAGCGTCGCAGGCTGCTCAAGCAGCCGTTGCCCGGCCCTCGAGCAATTTGACTTCAGGATTTTCAGATGCGAATAAGATCCTTAATCGACCGTCGGAGTTTGGGTCCGGAGTGCACGACAACGACCTTGCAAATTGGTCTGAATGGAGCCACTCATTCAGAACATGGTTGGTTTTCGCAGAAAGTCAGTTCGAACAGGACTTAAAGCTTGTGGAGGATAACTTGCAGGGCCCTGTTGATCTGACTGGGGCTTCGCCTGATCGCATTGCAAGGTCTCAGAGGCTTTACGCGATCCTTGCAAGCATTCTGCGTTCGAAGCCAAAAGCGATCTTGCGTCAGGTCGTCAACAGAAACGGCCTAGAAGTCTGGCGGGTGCTCACCAATACCTTCGCACCCAAATCGAAATTCAGAGGACTCGCTCTTTTGAACGCTCTTATGATGCTCCCGAGCTTCGGGAAAGATCGCAGCCTGCGAGAACACATCCAAGGCCTCGAGAGAATAGCTGAAGAATATCAAAGGGTCACTGGACAATATCCTGGGGAAGAGGTTATGCTAGGCACACTAGTTCGGTCCCTTCCCTCTGCGATAAAACAACACGTTCAACTTCAGATGACAGACTCCAGTAGTTACCAAAGCATCAGGGACTACGTTCTGGGGTATGAAGTTACGACAACGTCTTGGACTCCAGCCAAAATGCACCAAGCTCTTGGTGTAGTGCCTTTACCCAGTGCTGTCGAGCAAGGCCCAGTCCCGATGGAGGTTGATGCACTTCAAAGAAAAGGGCCAAAAGGCAAGGGCAAGAAGGGCAAAGAGCAGAAAGGCAAAGGTGGACAGCAACCGCAGAATCCGTATGGTGGCAAGGGCAAGGCCAAAGAAGGCAAGCAAAAGGGCAAGAAGGGCAAGGAGCACAAAGGCAAAGGTGGACAGCAGCCGCAGGGTGCCAAGGGCTCTAGGGCAAATGTAGTGTGCCACAATTGCCAGCGCAAGGGTCATTATGCTAGTGAGTGCTGGCGTCCACGTGTGCAGCAAGTCCAGGCACAGGGTTCGGACACCGCGTCCACTGTTGCGCCTAGCACTGTTGGTCCTTCAGCATCGCAAGTCGCTGGCAGCGCTGCTACCACCACGAAGCGCGTTGCTAGAGTTGAGATAGACATGACTTCCAGTGCGTTTCAGGACGATGCAGAGATCAGCGGTCACTTGTGTGTTTTGACAAAGGTGTGTCCTGAGGACCCAGCTGCAGTTACTGCCCAGCCGAGTTTTGCTTCACTGTGCAAGTCTTTGGCGTCTGCATGCGTTGACCCTGTGAAGCCACATGTTCTTGTGCCAGTGCCTGAGGCTGAAATGTTTGACATGTCATATTCGGACGGTGATTGTGTCTGGACAGTGCCAGATGAGGTGCATGGAGCCACATGTGTTGGTTGGTTGAGCAGTGCACGTGATTCTGAGTATGTGAAGTGCAAGGCGCCAGCCCGCAACCGTGCAAGGCCAGGCAGGCGATCACGGCCGCCACTGCAGTGCGAGGCAGTGTTGCATCCATGTGAATCCGCTGCCGAGCACCTTGTGACCCCACCTGGGCATCCCCTTCGGAACCTCAGTGTGTGTGCAGTGTCATGGGCAGACATGAGCAACGAGATTGAGGTTGTGGTCGACTCTGGGTCGGATGCCTCATGCTTGCCGCTGTCCTGGGCACACGTCGGAAGGGCTGATGGAGCAAGCCTTGATAGTTTCAGGGATGCCCAGGGTCGCATGATTAGGGGTTCGCAAATGCGTACGGCAGTGCTTCAGATTGACGGTGTTCAATTTAAGGAGCGGTGGCTGTTGAGCAGTGTGACACAGCCGCTTTTCAGTGTCGGCAAGTTGCTCAGGCGGGGATGGGACATCATCCACAGTGACGGTGTTCCTTACTTGACAAATCCTGGGGGCACAGTGCGCGTGCCTATGCACTACCGGCACAATTCCTTGCATGCGCGAGGCTCCATCATGAGCGTGGTAGTGTGTGCCAACGACTGTTTGAACGATGACAGAGAGGACGATGCGGCCCGACACCACGAGCCTCAGGAAGCCGAGCTTGATGATGAGCAGGTGCGCGGCAACGACCAGCAGGTCGAGGTGCCCCGGAGTGCTGAAGCAGACAGCCCTGTTGCGGCTGCGGTGCGTGCGCTTAAGCTTGGCAGTGCATGGCTGAACCTGGGTAGCCAATACACCGAGATGCAGCCTGGAATCTTTGCTAGGCAAGATCAGTCGGATCGGTTTCTTGATGTGTCAGTGCCGTTGAGCCACCATGGAGTGGGCTTCCGCACGACCCTTCAGTATGATGGTGCCGAATGGAAACTGATTGAAATCAACTGCTTGATCAGCCTCTTCGATGATCACGCCACATCATCACCATTGGCTCTGTTGACCCCTTGCAGGTAGAAAAGCTGTTTGATCATCAGCCTGTAGCGTGGAACGATGAGAGTTATGACGGCGAGTATGCTGATGCACCGCCCGATGAAAACATGCTTGAAGAGGATGAAAAGGCTGAGGATGTTGATGAAGGCGCCGGTGTAGGACCCGTGTCCCTCGCCGAAGTTCCTTCGCAGGGTCATGTTGTGGTCAATGGGGTTGAACTGCATCCCGGGTGTACCCTTAAGACCCTAAGGTCGGCCTGTGAGGTTCTTGGAATAGGCAAGTCCGGAGGAAAGCAGACGGTCTTTGCGAGGATCGAGCAACACTTGAAAACCCAGGAGTTGCTGCAACAACATGCTTTCCAGACTGATGGTGTGCCATTGCCGCTTGAACAAAAGTTTGTCGAAGAGCCAACTGCAGAGCAGAAGCGACGGCACGAGCTCAGTCATGTGCCGTATGCCGATTGGTGCCCACACTGTGTAAAGTTCCGCGCCAAAGCCGACAAACATGTGTCGAGCAAACCTGAGCTGCGGGACGATTCGGTGTGCAGCTTCGATTTTGCTTATACAGGACGGAGCAGCCCAGCTGAGTTTGAAGGTGCGTCAAAGGACAAGCTTGTTTGCCTTGTGATCAAGGACTCCCACACTGGAGCGATGCATGCTGTGCCAACGCCAGCCAAGGGCGGACCGGTTGCTTTCAAGTATCTTGTTGCCGAAGTTTGTCGGTTCTTGAATTACTGTGGGCATGAGTCCGTCACGATCAGGTCTGACGGTGAGCCAGCTTGCTTAGCACTTCAGCAGGGCATTAAAGCTTTTAGGACCAAGATGGGGTTACGCACCCACTTGGAACAGACCGAGCCAGGTGACCACCAGTCAAACCCGTCTGAACAGGCCATTGATAGCATCCGGCAGCTTGCAGGATGCATTCTTGACCAGTTTGAGGAGCGTGCCCAGACAACTGTAGGTGCAATGCACCCGCTGCACGGCTATGCTTGGAGACACGCGGCATGGCTTCACATGCGAATGTCGCGGCACAACGATCTCAGTGCGTTTCAAGTGATCAATGGCCGGCCGTATGCAGGGAAACTCGTTTGCTTCGGGGAAAATGTTTACGCGAGAGTCAAGAGCAGTGTCAAAGGAAAAGCACGCTGGTGCAAAATGCTTTGGCTTGGAAAACTTCCTGTATCGGACCTGCACTTTGGAGTCACCGAGGGAGGATTCATGCTGTCCTCAAGGTCCGTTAGACGGTTGCCAAAGCAATATGATTCATCCTTGTGCGCCAAGCTGCGCGACATGCCTTGGAGCCAAGCGTCTTTTCTTGCAGGCCAAGTTGGTCAAGCGCGCAAGCAGAAAACGCTTGAGAGTGATGAGGGTGCCGGAACCGAGCCTCAGGTTGAGCAGCAAGCCGAAGTGCCTTCACAAGCAGGTGCGGCGGAGAATCCTTTGCCGTTTCCGGGTCATCTGTTGCCCGACGATGCAATGCTGCAAGAGTTTGTGCCACCGCTGCCCCGAGAGCCAGTGTTGCATTCACCTGAGCCGCCCACGCCTGTAGCGGCCACTCCAGGGCAGCAAGCAGAAACGCCGATGCAAGTTGAAACGGCCTCGCCACTTGTGTCGTTCGATGATGGGCCTGGGATTGCTTCTTCGTCCTCTGGGATAGCACGTCCTGCGACTGAGGAAGCAGGCGGGGAAGCTCCAGCCCGAAAGAAACTTCGTCTTGATGCTGTTCAGACAAGTGCATATGACTGTGAGATGTTCCATCATGATGAGGCTCCAGAGCTTCTTGATGAAAGTGCAGAGCAGTTTCTTGACTGTCAGGATGAGTCCATTTGGGACACCGATGATTGGGCTGATGACTCAGCCAATGCACCTGGCATCCCGAGTATTTTGATTAAGCCTTTCAGTGAAACTGAGCCAGTGTGCGATGCATCCGAGCTTGAAGCCATTGATGCTGCAGCAGATTCCTTTGAGCTTGAGCGGTTGACAAAGGCCGGTGTTCTTGAACAAAGTGAGTCCTGGCTTGAAGGGCATCGGACATTGTCTTCAAAGTACGTTCGCGCCTGGAGGCCCAAAGTGATCAATCAGGAGCGCGTTTGGTTGCGCAGAGCCAGGTTGGTTGCGCGCGAATTTGCGCACCTAGATCCGGGCAGGCAACACTTGTTTGCACCGACGACGACCCAGTGCATGCTGAGAATTGTTCCATCGCTTTTCATTCGCAACTTTGGGGACGGTTGGTCTCTACTGAGTCTTGATGTGTCTGACGCTTTCTTGCAGTGCAAGCAACAGCATGATACCTTGACAAAAGTTGATGGAAAATGGTATAAACTTTTCCGAATGCTGCCTGGGCAACGGGACGGATCTGCTACCTGGTTTCAAGATTTTATGTGTGAGATCCGCGCAGCTGTTGCTGCTGAGCCATTGGCAGAGCAGCCAGTGTTGTTTCGCATCTGCATGCGGAAGGCAACCACAAGTGCCAAGGAGGTGGAATGGTGCGTGTAGACGACATGCTTGCGGCAGGATTCACCGCACGCCTTCAGGAGCTTGAGAATCAGTTGAAGTCAAAGTTCAAAGTGTCCAGTGAATGGATCCGCCAAGTCGGCGACGAGGTTTCCTTCTTGAAGCGGCGACTGATCCTAGTCAGCCCCAATTTGCTGGTTGTTGAGCCTGATATCAAATATCTTGAGAAACTCTTGAAGATCACTGGACTAGATGGTGCCAAGGAGCGGTACAAGGCGGCCCCGTTCCCGACTGGAGGCCTGCCGACAGACCTTTCATCGGACCGCGAGCTGAACTCAGAGTCAGCATCAAAGTATCGCTCAGCACTTGGTATCTTAATGTACCTTGCTTCTGACCTGTTGGCGTGTCAATTTGGGATTCGGTTCTTGTCCACACATGCTCACAAGCCTACCGAAGGCTGCTGGAAGTTACTGAGGCATCTGACTGCCTATGTGAATTGCCATAAGTCACATGTGCTTGGTTTGGCAAAACCCCAGCTTGGGCAAGGACTGATCTGCAATCGCGTGTCTGAGCAGAAAACTTCTACCCTCGAAATGTTCTCAGACAGTGACTGGTCCGGGGATAAGAAGACGCGCAAGTCCGTATCTGCATGTTGCATTCTTTGGGACGGGCAGCTGCTCCACTCGAGTAGCCAAACACAGAAAGTGATCAGTCTTTCTTCGTGCGAGGCTGAGTACAACTCCCTGGTTGCTGGTGCGGCAACTGCCATCCTCCTTAAGAATTGCGTCATACACTTGTGCCCGGAACTGCATATTGCATTAACATGCTTGTGTGACAATGCAGCAGCTAGGTCGCTTGGGAATCGCCAAGGAGTCGGACGGACTCGCCACATCGACGGAAAGCTGTTGTGGCTTCAGCAGATGACTCAGGAAAAGATGCTGGACATTTCACCGGTTGGAACCGCGGAGAATGTTGGTGACCTTCCCACGAAGCCGCTAAAGCCGGAGAGAGTTGAGTTCATCCTTGCACGGTTGAATGTTCGTGACAAGGATTGCGGCTATGCCTTGGTTGGGAACGCCCATTTGCTTGATCACAGGACGCGACATCATGTGAGTCGCATTGTGAAGCGAGGAGCAGTCAACCCACAGCTTGTGCTTCAGATCCTTGCATTGGCGTTGCAAGCAGATTCTGTCGCCAGTGCCGATGATGAGCCCAATACGCATCGCGATGACGCCTTGAGCCAGGGGACTGGCGAGCACGGTTACGGGGAGATATTTTGGAATTTTCTTGAACAGTTGCTGTATGCGATTTTCTTGATTGCTGATTTCCTTGCAGAGCATCCCATGCCGAGTTTTATCGTGAGCCAATGCGTTATCATTGCAGTGCTGTGTGGTATCTTCTTGTGCCGTGGAAACAGGCCAGAAAGGTTGCATGAGAAGGCAAGTGAGGCAGCTGCGTGCAGCGATGGCAGCGCGCCGCAGGTGATGCCGGGTGTGTGCGTCAATGTGACGGTCGAGGGAGCCAAAGTTTCGGTTGATAGTGTAGTCCCGAAACCTGCCGAAAGCCCTAATCCTTGCGCCTTGGCCAGCCCTAAGAGTAGTGCCAGGCCGTGCAGTGCGAGTGTGCTTGGACAGAGCAGCGGGCGAGCTGCTGATGACCATGATGCTCCCGACCCGACAGCGCGATCATGCAATGGACCTGCGGTGCAGCCAAAAGCGCCGGTGCAGCCGAAAGCACCGAACCCAGCAGTCGCATATGCATCTGTACTTGACCAGCGTATCAGAGATGAGCTTGATCAGCAGATAGTGTGGGTGACTAAGTCGCGTGGTTATGCATACCATGGCCGCCGGAGTTGCGGCAACTTGCATAATGCCAAAGCACTTGAGCGCCTTACGCGTGGAGAGGCAGTGCGCCGAGGCTTTAAGCCATGCAAAGCTTGCTACGGTGGCTGACTTGTTATAATGCTCTTGATGCGCCAATCCTTGAGTGCGCTGCTTCGGGCAGTGCACTGATCGGTTGGATTCTTGTACAAAGGCTGCTGGCGACGACGATTGTACATAGTCTTGTGTTTGAGCAAAACATGACAGGACTTCGAAACAGCATTTTGCTGTCAATCTCGATTCACGTACGAACTACTTTGGCAGCTGTGGAGCAGCTGCGAGTCCGAAGGAGTAGGCTCACGAGCCACTCGATGCAATTAGGCATCTCAATCCTTGTGCTGATCCTTAGGAATCATGCTTCAACGTGGCGTGGCAGCTGCGAGCTGCACTGATGCCACATGCGCCTACGCTTGGGTGAGTCAAGCTATCGTCTCGTGGGCGACGCACGCCCTCAGAGACGGTGTAACCTAGTCGTAGATGTACAGTTCTACGTAGTCGAACAACGTATCGAGCCAACGACCTTTTGGGGCAGTGCTCATGAAAAGTAGCCTGTGAGTCGAGTGCTATCTTGAACTAAGCAAGCTGTTGTTTCGTACGGGGTGAGGCAAACTAGATTATGCCGAAGACTTCAACCCGCGAGCTCAATGAAGCTTCGTAGGCGGGGTGTTTATTATTTTGCCTCCTAGGAAACCCCATGCATTTTATCTTGATTTACTTTATCGTATTTCATGCACTCATGAGTTTCACATGGTGATTGCGCTATACTCCGCAGGCGTCTTTGAGGATTCAAAACATTTTCAATAAAACTAAATCATTTTTATGAAATATACAAGAAATTGCATAATAATATTTCTATGAAATTTCTAGAAAATTTCATGAAATATTTTCATATTATTTTCTTGAAATTTTATAGCTAGGATATCGCTGAGAATTTCATAGATAGATATGGATTGACGACCACGCGTAAATATAACGATACGAATTGGCGGTTTCATTATAAAAAATATATTCTTTCTGTATATATTTTGAATTAGGATAGATATAGACCTTATACCAAAATTAAGAATCAAGAAAATGAGAAAATTACTATTATCTATTCTACCGATAAAGATATTCTTGAATATATGGACTGATACGTGATCGAGATCAGTCGGTTTCGAAACCTAGTTTTTCTTTTTCGGATATTTAAAAAGCTCCTATCTTTCTAAATTTTTGATTTAAAATAATAGATTCGACAAATATCGTCGAGGATCTAATCCGATAAAAAAATATTTCGTGCTTTCTGATTTTCGATAGGAATTCGTCGCGATCTACGTCTTTGATTTAAATAGATTCCTCTTGCTTGAGCTAATATAATTATAGGAGAAACTCAATCCTATCGAATTCTTAAATCAATCAATTCTTCGAGCTTCTTTTCGATTATCTGCGATTACCTGATTTCCTCAAATCAGATTTCGCCATTAATATATTTCTTAAATAGATATTTTCGTGACTTCCTCGGATATATCATATAAGTGCTAGCTTGATTCCTATATACTCGTAGTAAAATTTATGCTGCTAGAGCTAGTGGGGAGAATAGTATATCGTACGCAATCATATTTGGAGGGTGCGAGACGATATTTCTATTTATAGAAGCGAATATTATCGATCCTCGTCGTGCTGGTAAGATTTATATCATTGAACGCAGGTAATTTATGACCATCATATATAAAGATGCCTCGGGCGAGCTATACAATAATTATTTTGTTTTTCTCAGATTCAATCAAAAAGAAATACTAGAGAAATATTTTTTCAATTCTTCTACGTATTATCAGAATAGTGATCTTCGATTTCGGCGACCTGGAAAATATTACTTTAATTAAAGAGAAAAGACAAATAGCAACTGTCACGAGATCTGGACCAAAGAATCATACGTCACTTCATATCCCAGAAAACCAATTTGAAAATATAGTAGATATTCAATTGAATTTTCGGAATTGAAATTAAAATATTTTTTTCGAAATAGAAGAAAATTATAGAAAATTTCAATCCCATCAATATTTTCAATATATATTAAAAAATCATTTCAAACGATATCTCGGTTTCTTGACTAGTTTTAAGAATTAATTTTTTTTATTTAGATTTTAATCAAAAATCGAAAATATCGATTCGACGAATTTTTTTTAAATAATATCTCATATATATAGAAATTTATGATAGATCGTAATTAAATACTACTAGTATAATCAATATTTTCCCCTATATTTTAATGAATTAGAAATTCAAAAAAAAAATACGTTTTTTATAATAATTAATTTCGTAATCGATTTTCTATCGAAAATGATTATTGTATTTCTAAAAAGAATCCTATATATAACGTGGTCGCGAGTGAAGAGATTCAGAGCGAGAAAAAATTAAGAAGAGAACTAACGAAGAAGAAATAGAAAGAAGAATTGAGAAAGAGATATAAAGAGAGAGAAGCATGAGCAATAAGAAATTGAAAGATTTTTTTAATAGAAACAAAGAAGAAAGAGATAATTATATAAAGAAATCTAAATAAAGATCATAGAGAGAGAGAAATGAATAGACCTATATAGAAATATACGTAGCAAAATAGAGAGATATCTAAGAATTTCTTATCAATAACAATCCATTTTATAAAATTCATAAAGAACTTACTATTTCTATGAATGTTTCGCGAATTATTTGATAGAAAATTAATGAATCAGCTTAGAAATTTCATACGAAAAGAAACCGAACGAATATAAATATAAATATAATAATAAGTAGATACGAGATTCAAAACTATCCTTCATTCTCTATAAGTGTCAAAAAAACGTAGATTTCATCGTAATTTCCACCTTATTCGGGGTCCTATATCTCCATATAAATTCTATTCCGACAAAATCCTTACAAACTCCCCATAAGTTCTGTTCCGACAAAGCCTTCCTATTATTTCTAAAATATATTCTTTCCGAATTAACTATATTTCGACTAATAAATATCGCCCAATATTCAAGACGCCAATATTACACACCTTCCTCAAACTCTTAAATCCCGCGCCCGACTAAAAATATAGATTCGAACAATTTTCGTAAGAATGCAACCTAAAACTAGTTTCATTGAAATCTTCGGTATTTCAATAACGAGAAAGAAATATTCTTGATATTTGATTTTTTGTATATGTATTACCTATCATAATTATCTTTATTTTTTAACTAGCACAATTAGACTATCAAAATCAAACCTATCAACATCTATTATTAAACGAAAAATTCAATTATTTTTTCATTCCGACATCGTATCTGGCAATTTCCTCATAAACCTTCTTTTCATACCCCTTCGGCGGTTCATCGGGGTTATTTACGTGCCACAATTGACAGCTGCATCTTGCTGACCAGCTGGTAACATTGGACGGTATTCCTTGATCCGCGTCCAGATTTTTGCGATTCCGACAACGAGCTCGAAAGTGGTTCCCCGCGAACAAATGCGGCCCCAAAAATGGGGCCGTTTTCTGAACCTGCGGGAATTGTGCCAATATTAGATGGCTCCAAAAACGGGTCCGAATTCTGGACCCGTTTTTGGCCCCGCTCTTTACCCGGCACTTTGCCCTTTTATTGAATTCTCAATTCACAAAGAACTTCAAAGAACGGCCGCCAACAGGTGTTGTGAAAGTCACAACTTCTCCTCTTTTTTAAGCAGCCACAACAGCGACTACAGCTTGAGCATCTTGATCTGCTGCAGATTCTGAGGCAACGACAGCACCGATATGGTGTAGCTGAGCAATGAAAATCAACAAACTACAGAAGATCTCCCGGCACTCTGGAGGCCCCTTCACAACAGCCACCACAATCCTGACAATTTCCGGACCCAGAAGTGGGCTTGTTACAAGCACTACGGAATCTGAACCTCGCCGCCTGCTTCAGAAACTTCGATTATGTCTTGGCCTGCTCCAAACGCAGTCATGACTACACGAGCCACGCAAAGCATTGCCAAGATCCGGCGTCGCAGGAAATCTGTGGGAAACCCATAGGAAACCCTAGGAAACCATCGGAAACCAGACCGGAAACCTTCAGAAACCCTTAAGAAGGAACAGACTCACTTTTGAGGAGCATATCTATCTAGAATTCATGGGAAACCATAGCAGGCCATAACAAACATATGGAAAACGCAGGGAAATCACAGGAAACCGCAGGAAACGTGTGGGAAACCCACAGGAAACCACAGGAAACCAGACCGGAAACCATCAGAAACCCCGTACGAGGAAGAGACTCACTTTTGAGGAGCATATCTATCTAGAAATCATGGGAAACCAAAGCAGACCACAGCAAAGGTGTGGAAAACGCTCGGAAACCTGGAGGAAACCGCAGGAAACCCATGGGAAACCCATAGGAAACCAAAGGAAACCATCGGAAACCAGACCGGAAACCATCGGAAACCCCTATGAGGGGACAGATTCACCCTTTGAGCATTTACAAAAGGTTAATGCAAAGGGAAGGGGGTGAACTGCACCGTCGACAGCACTCCACACTTCATCATCCCAGCCAATCGCAGTATTATACTTCCACTCGCACCCAAAGGGTGAACAAGTTCTTCCGGATCTGTGTTCTGGAGAGCACGCACGGCAAGACAAGAATGCTTTCACATTGCTGATGAACCTAATTGAAGTCCTTATGTAACTGAGGTCTCACGTGCAAACTTCTGTCAGCTTCGCTGTACATATATTAGTTTATACTAATATGGCTAATACACTACGATGTACAGTCATGTACAGCATTGACAGCAATGTATGTGAGTCTCCACGACAAAGGGCCAAGAAACGCTTTTCAAGTGCAAGTGTCGCGAACATCTGCTGGGGCTTGAACCAACCGCGCAGGCCCCGAAGTCATCATCACATGTGAGCAACGGCCTCCCGACAACCCTTGCACGGCTCGCCGGCCCACCACAGCCCTTGAGCCTCTCAACAACAGCCGGGCCGGCTCACTCGGCCTTACCATTCGGGCGGGACACCTGCGTGTTGCGCAGCATGTCGCCGACGACAACAAGGTCGCCAGACCTCAATGTAATGAATGTAATGAGAAAACCTTGTGAAA